CAGAGTCACTGCTTTTTATGATACAGTAGGGGGTACATTCTTTGTTCCCCCATTTAGCTATATTAAAACATCTACTGTATGCGTGTACAGTTTACCAAGCAATCTTTTAAACAGTAGTTTTAATTAGAACATAACTTGACACTGAACACTTGTTGCAGCCACAATACTGTGAGCTGGACAATTTTAGCTTGGTTTCTAAATTGCTCAATTTAGTAAGAATTTCGAAAAGTGACCTGCAAAAGTGCAAAATATGGACTTATTCCCTTTTGCTGTATTATGATGCATGAGAAAGATATGAAAGGTTTGTTTTAATATTTCCTGCTTGTTTCTTAGAAAATATCTGAAACTATAATGTATCTGAGAAACTAGAGAAGAGTGGTCTAACCTCACAAAAAACATAGCTGAGGAATGAATTTTTAGTTCCACTACTTTGAACTGTTTTTGTTGCCATTTACTTAATATCTAACATCGCCCCACCCCCCTTCAGTTATTGTGGGGAGAGTTTTCTGTACACATTAAAACCTCCAACCTCTGTTCCAGTAAAATCAGGGGAATCTAGATTTGACATTTTTGGAATTTCTAAGGCAGAAAGAGCCATTATATCTATACTTCTAGACTTTAATACATCACAAGTGGGGGAGGGGATGTAAAATAATTCTTTTGAGTTATATATAATTCAGAATAAAATTAATGTGATCAAGAAATGTGTGAAATATTAACCTTTTGCATACAATTTAATTCCTGGAACTATATGAGGAGGTATGAAGTGCACTTCTTGAAGTGCCATTTACAACAAGGGATCGTGTGAGATGTCTCCTCCAGTGCTCATATTTGATTATATAGATGGGTTTACCATAACCTCAGTTCGAATTAATAGCAGGGGTGGGGGAAAGGGAGGGGAGGTGGAAAAGTCAAACACTGGCCTCCCTAAATACAAAGCACGGTATAGAGTATAAAAACACAACCAAATTCAGGAACTGACATGAAAGAACACTTGTCTTTTTTTCAGTCTTACAATCTATAAATCAGTGAATCAAATGCTCAAGATTCTAGTTGGGAAGCCTTTCCTTATTTTATTCTAGATTTGAAAACAGACCTCACAGATTTGTATTTTCACATTCTTGTAAAATTGTCAAGAAGTCCTTCAAGTGCAGATACAGTGAAAAAATTGAGTGAAAATGACACCCCCTTCAGCAGACCTATGCTCCTATGTAGTACAAGGCATCTGATTTTAACTAATCCATTTTTATTATCAGTGGGGTGTAGAACTGTTCTCACTTCTGCATTATCAATAGAAGTAACTTAGTTCTGATTGTGGAATATTTAGAAATAGGAATGAGAAGGCTGCACAAATGCTGGGTTTTAGTTCAGCACATTTTCCCTAGCACTTACGGCTTTGGGGCCACTGATGATAGCAGAAGCCAGGCTCCTTAATTGTTACTGCACACCAGCCCCTGCTGAGTATATATGCTGCTCTTCGGAAAATACCAGTCAGTTCCTTCTTGACTTTAATCAGCAATGAGCATACCACTCTCCTGCAAACCGCAACAGTTAATCAGATCCCAAATATACCTTGTTATCTGCTTTCACCTCTGCCTTAATGACAAGGACCTGAGACCTACCTGTTCCAGATCATTAGCATAGTGGTGATGGTGGTGATCTTGGCATGCCACGCTGCTGCCTGAGCCAAGCTCAGTGAGGTTGGCATTTGTTCTACTTGTCCAGCTCTTTCCTTGCCAATGAGTTATTTCCTGTACTTCAGGCATGGCATCTAAGAAGGAAGACTGCTCAGCAGCTTCACACCCAGTCAGAACAGCATCAAAGAGAGGAGGACAATGATTGTGGCGGATTCTGAAGCAGAGGAAACAACAATGTGCTGCATTGCCAGATATATTTGCAGACTAATAAAACACCAGCCCAGTGTCTCAAAAGATACAAAGTCATACTTTAAGCCATCCAAGAATGCTTAGTGTCACCACTGCCTGCATCAGTGCAGACCTGATCCAACTCAAGACGACTTTCAGTTTGAGTTTGAGATTGAGTTTGTTCAATCTGGATGCACTGCCCCCATCTCTTTGATACCAGGGAAGTAGAGAATTTATCTAAGCAGATAGATAATATGTAAAAATACTGCAGAACTAAGCTTCCAGCTACCTTTTCCTAGTATAGTAATGCAGCTCATCAGCATCCTTTCCTAGTAATTTTCCTCTATGCCAGATGAATTGAGTATTGCAATGTACTTTTCTAAGGCCTGGTCTACACTAACCCCCCCAATTCGAACTAAGGTACGCAACTTCAGCTACGTAAATAATGTAGCTGAAGTCGACGTACCTTAGTTCGAACTTACCGCGGTCCAGACGCAGCAGGCAGGCTCCCCCGTCGACTCCGCGTACTCCTCGCGCCGAGCAGGATTACCGGAGTCGACGGCGAGCACTTCTGGGTTCGATTTATTGCGTCCAGACAAGACGCGATAAATCGAACCCAGAAGTTCGATTGCCTGCCGCCGAACCAGCGCGTAAGTATAGATAAGCCCTAAATAATCTATCTAGGACTTGTATGACGTGTTTGAAAGTAACTGAACCATGGTAGAATATGACAGTAGCTAACCTAGAAAGCCAAAATGTAACACCCAAGAAAGCCCTGACATGTTAAGAAAGCCATGATAGGTACATATTTTTCATGGCAACATTTTTTAGTTAAATAATGTTCTTCTGGCATTTCCACCACTGGAGGTTGCAGGGATCAGTGCTTACTATTGCATCCAAGACAATAATTATAAATTATGGGTGACCTGCAAGGGGTTTAAATTTTGCTCCTTAATAGTGTATGAAGATGACCTTTATGGATTTTTGCCATAGAAAAGTCAGGAATATCAAATTGGGTCTTTCCTAAGGATTTCATTGATGTTCCAGGCTCTGAGTTTATATGGTAAAGGGGCAGAGGTCTAAATCTTTATCAAAGCCATCTTTTCTTTTCACTGTTCATTAGTCACTGGAGTTAAACATGGTAAAAAAATGTGTTTTAAACAGTCTAACTAAAATATCTTCCCAGGTACATTAGTTAGTTTTATTTATTACTGTGTACAATTACTGAAAAAGAATCCAGCTTTCCCTATCATAACTGTTGGTTCTAGCCTATTGATAAAAAAAACTTGTCAGTAAAATATATAATGAACTACAGCCCTGGAGATGGAGAAGCCATTTTATATAGACAGCTGCACAGAACTACACACTTCAAAGAAACAGCAAATATGTTGTGAGATTTATATGTTTTTACTTCCAGATGCCTGTTAGTACGCAGCATAAAGGTTCTTCAAAAATGCAGGAACTTGGCTGAAAGAGTGAACCATTTTTTCCATTAATTGAGATACTGGGTTTTGTAAGAGCTGGAAGAATTGTGGACTTTAAAATAAGTTAAAAGTAGTGTACAGAAATCTTACCAAAACCTTTTTCCAGATGAAATTCATTATATTTTGTATTTGTCACTGCAATGAGAGATTTCCTGTCTGGAATTTTTTTCTAACGCCAAGATTAGACAAAATTATGTTCACTTTATTTTGACAACTCTCTGGAGTAGTAGTTTTGATATTTGATATTAAGTGCTATTTCAAAATAAAAACTGGCAGGAGGACTCAAAACCAGCTTACTACTGAAACTACTTTCAATTAGAAATTTAAATATGAGGCAAGAGTAGGTAAAATTTTTAAACGCGACTCAAGAGCCTAAGTCACTTTTGAAAGTTTTACTGTATCTCTTAATTTCTCAGCTCACAGATTTCTCCATGTACAGGCAGAGCAATGCCTTTTCCATCTTTAAAGCAGAAGTATTGAAAGCCCTTTTCCTAGCCTTTGAAAAAAGATGGGACTACTCACAAGGAACAATTCAAAAACACAGTTACCATTTAAATTCTTTATTTTAAAAAAAATACAAGGGATGATAATGCTGCTTGCTTTTCTTCTTCTATTCCTAACATTAGTACACAAAATAAATGTCTTGAATGATAGAAAAAACTGCAGTAGCAATAAAGCAGCCAGAAGTTTTCTAGCATTTGGTTTTAAAAATTTGGTACTGTAATTAAGCTTTTCCTATAGCAATTTGTTTAATGTATTACAGGTCTCATATGAAGTTTTATGCAAGCTTGTGTTCCTATAAGTAGGCAACATTCAATAAATCCCCATCATAACCAAACTTTATTTTGATCTTAAAATCCAAACTGATTTCAAGTCACTATTACTTTCATGGTGTCCCAGATAAGATTAGTAAGGGGGAAAAATGCACTGTATTGCATGCTTGTATGATATATGAATGTTTTAGATTAATCAGCCCCTCCTCTTTCAATTCAAAAGGCAGGCTGTTTCATCTACTATGCCTGTTTTACTGCCAAAAACTGCTCTCTTATTGACAGTTCTGGCTCTTCATCTGCCCCACACAAGAACTGCTTTAACCTTTCTCCATTGATATGCAGTGGCACACACTAACCCTCATTATCCAGTTCATACAAAACCCCAGAAATTCATTGGCCAAGGAGTAAGAAAGCCTAAGCTGCTCTCTCTCTCCTACAGTACAAGAATGCTAGCAAACCCTCATGGAACCCACATGAACAGTGCTTTACATGATGAAGGATCCATTAAATGGCATCAGTAGAACTAACAGTTATTACAAAAACTCAGAAGACCTGTTTTAAAATGCAGTAATAACCCACAACTCTGTACAGTTTAGAGCTGCAGTAAGAGTCCCACTATCACGATTGAAATTTTTTACCTTATTACCTTACACTACTTACAATGAATTAAAAATTGCATATTAATATTTACTGTTTGAATTGTATGAAGGTAGTTACAGTAGGGAACTCATGCATTAAAATGATACTGTGGGGGACTCTGACAGTCAGATAAAATACAGGGTAGACTTTTAAGCATCTAAATTCTATTAGTTCAGTTTTGTAAATCTCCCACTCAATTTAAACAGTAATGTTATGATCTTGCTATGTCTTATAATATATCACAAATAGAGGGAACCTAACTTATTTTCTGAACCACAAAAGAAACAAGAAGCAACCTCACTTTCTATTCCTCGTTTCAATTTTAAAAGTAGCAGCATACTACTTAGAAAAGCATTCTAAACATCTAGATTTAAGCCAAGGTCTTTTTCATTCCTATAGGAAAAGGTCAGTAAATAACTGGATGTAACTGGGTAGTTGCCACTGACATACTGCTCAGATGTTAGTAAGTCTGTACAGCATGGTCACTGAACTAGCTTGCATTTAAGACATTTGTTATAACTACCAACTTATTCCTAATAATAGTTTCAAGAATGTGGATATGGGACACTAAAAAACCTATATCCTACTTTCACTCCCCACTGTTGACAATATACTATGCTGAGATAGAACAGAAAATCCCACCAAATTTTGAACACAGATTTCAGAGGACAGGTTCTCAACCCAGCTGTGTGCTAAAAAAAAAATTCAAAATTTGCTCTGGTCTGGGGCGGGGCTGGCTGAGGGACAGACAGTGTCTGGCAGCCTGCAGGAGCGCTCCTACCAGCAGGGGGCTGGTGAGTGCCGCAGGGGGGCAGGGTGCAGGAGAGTGAGTCCCTGGGCAGGTTTGTGGGGGGTTGCGTGCTTGGAACTACGAGTTTGCAGGGGTCTGCAGCACCCCCAGGTTTTAGGTGGGGCTCCGCTCCTGGCCCCGTACCTTGGGCCTCGCTGCCGGCCTGCACCAGGCGCTCCGCTCCTGGCCAGGCACCAGGGGTCCCGGCTACCTGGCCCCATGTGGCAGGGTCCCGGGGTTCAGGTTGCGGGGTCCGGCTGCCGGCCCCACGCAGCAGGTCCAGGGTCTCTGGGCGGAGGGCACTGGGCATAAAGGACTGTGGGAAGTTGTGGGGGGTGGGAGGGCGCTGTAGTTCTCAACCTGTGGCCCACAATGATAAATAGGTTGAGAACCAGTTTTAGAGCCAAAACTGACCAACATGTGCAAAGAGCAGTGTATACTGAATACCCATTTTTTACCCCTTCCATGAAAGATGGTCAGCATGATTCTGACCAAGGGTTCGATGAATAAGTGTACACAAATAAATTTTAAACAGGTAATCCTCATAGCTGTAAATCCTTTTATTTATTTTTTAAAAGTTGCACAGCCAGCTAACATGAACAGGAAACTAATTTTATGAGAATAACTTGAGATGCCTGCGACCACGTGAAACTGAACAAGACTAAACAGTTTACACATAAGAAATTCACTCATGTTTACAGTTTACCTATTCTAAATATCTAGGGTTGACTATAGCTCCAAGGATATTTACTAATGAAGATGGCACTGAAATTGTTCTCTTTGACCAGTCTGTACAACCAAGTCAACCAGCAGTTTTACATTTTCAAATGATGCAAAGAATCATGGAACCATGGAATGAAAGCAAAACTAAAAACCCCCAAATGCATTACAACTCCATGTTTGTATGTCTTAATATCAAGATATGCACCTTACAAGTCAACAGACAATCCATTAGGATTACTGACCTCTCCATCTGCCATAAAAATAAAAATAAGCATAATACACTTCTAAGATGTCTTCTAAAAAAACCTTACAGATGTCAATTTGAACCAATACAAAATAACTAAACATGACACTATTTACAACTTCCTCTGTTTATGGAAACTCTTTCTTCTGCATCTTCCAGTAACAAAAACTTGTAAATAAGAATCCATCTTACTGCATCAATACTGTGATGTCTAGAATTTTTAATCTGAGAAACATTTTCTCTCTTTAAAGCAAGCTTAGCTTAACTTTGCGTGGGCCAATTGGTCTATCATTTAGCTCATTAATAGCAGCCATTGCTTCCTCATAATTTGTCATAGCAACAATGGCATCACCTGAAGGTAGTCCGTGTTCATTACACTGTATAGAAACAGACTCTGGAATGACACCATAGCCATAGAAAAAATCCAAAATTTCATTAGGGGTGGCTCTAAATGGCAAGTTCTTTAATCTAATAGGAGTTACACGATCAGAACCACCACTGAAATTTGGATCGGACATAAATCTTCCCTCAGAAAAGCCTCCCATGTTATTGTTTCCATACTCCATCCTACCAAAAGGTTCGCCATCACCACCAAAATCCATAAAAGGTGGAGGACCTCGAAAATCCTCAGGAGGTCGTCTAACATCAGAAGGATGCCTAAAGCTCCCAGGAGGACCAAATGAGTGCATAGGTAATCCTTGTGGTTGTCCAGGTGGTGAAGCAGCTGGACGGGAATGCTCACCTCTGTCATATGCCTGTGAATTAACCTGCATTTTTCCACTTGTTGCTGATGGTAGAACATTTAAACCAAACTCCTGCATCTGTTCTTCAGATATAAGTCTTAATAGTACCTCTGTTCCCAAGAACCTTCGACGATTTAAACTTTCTGCTTTCATTGCCTGCTCTTCAGATTTAAATTTTACCAATGCTTCTCCCAGCCCAACTCCTTTGTCATCATAAAGCAAGTAGACATCATCTTCATCAATAGCAAATCCTGCAAAGAACTTTTGTACTTCAACTTTTGTCACATCAAATGGAAAGTTTCTTATATATATGCACATCTTTGGGCCAGAATGCCCCTCCCGATAACTTTTTTCCGATACAGCCTGTCCAGGCCGATCTCTTTCTTGTGAGCTCTTCTTCTCATATGACTCAATTAGTTTCAACATCGATCTTCTAGAAATAGGAAAAATGTAAACAGGACGATTGAAGAGAAACATCCTGTGATGTTCCAGAGCAATATCAAACTCTCTCTGATTCTTCAACATCAAAAATGCATTTCTTGTCTTCCTTTGATGCTTGTCCAGTAAAAGCTTGATTTGGTTGTTAGACACATCCAGCTTTCCAAAGAAAGTTCTCAGATCTTTCTTCTCAAGATAGGTAGGTAGATTTCTTAAGTGTAAGTAAAATTCCTGGCCACGAGGTGAACGAGAGCGCGTTCTTTGTCTCCTTGGAGGAGATCTTGAATGAGAATGTTTTCTTGAATGAGTATAGTTTGAACCTCTTGTTGGAGAACGCTCTTTGCTTAAGTAACGAGCAATCTCATTCTTCATGTCTACCCTGCCACCATATTCAAGCCACTGTTCTTCAGTAGCTGGACTTATTTCTATAAATCTTGGACCCATGTATTGTCTATGACGTTTAAGTCCTTCTAAGGCACCATGAGGTGTAGCAAATTTTACCAAACCATCACCATTATTTAGGCCATTGCGACGTTTTATAAAGATCACTCCCTCTACTCGTAATCCAGAAAAGAAAGCACGTACTTCATCTTCTGTTGCAGAGTACGGTATGCCATGTAGAAATAAATAAACATCATCTGAACTCACTGACTCCTTTCTTGACTGATTATAGTTTGATTTAGGTATACTTGGATCACCATGTCTTGTGCCATTGGTATGAAAGCCAGACTCTAGGTGATTTGATGGAACATAACCAGATTTATTTATTCCTTTTGTAATAGCTGCAACTAAGTTTGAAAGGTTCCCAACGCCTGATGCACCAGAATTACTACCACCTGTTCGTCTAGACCCAGACATTGGTTCTCTTCCCCCACGATCAAATCTTTTCCGGCTCATTTCTATTGTATTTTGCATTTCAGTCTTGCTGCTGAGAAAGAGCTCTATGGGGGAGTCTTTGATAAGCTCTCCTGAACAGCTCATGGCACGTCGTGCATCTTCATCTGTTGCAAATATAATAAAAGCCTCCCCAGTTTCTCCTCCAATAATATGCACTCCTCCATCAGGAATATTCAATCCCGAGAAGAAACGGCGAATATCTGCAGGACCCGCAACAACAGGAAGCCCCTGTAAACGGATGACTACAGCCATTCTGAGCTCAACCCACAGCAAAAATCACCTGCAGACAAAAAGGTACACATGATAGCAAGTCTTTAGTACTCATCTATTACAGTATCTTAATACATAAGCTAGAGCCTTTTTAAGGAAGGTCCCTGCCTCAATCAATCAAGATTTATGAAATCAAAAACTCTCAAATTCAAATCAATCAGTGACCCTGTTTTAATCTTAAGGTTGATTAAGTAGTCAGAACAATTAGCTACTCCACCTGGATGTACGCACATAACTGTCAATATTCCCTATCTTAAGGGCAACAAAATCCACGTAAGTCACTCTTCTCACCATCCAAGATAAGTAAGGAATGCCTCAAGTCCTTCATGGCATGGTTGCTACCTGCCAGAAATCTCTACCTGATACTAAGGACCAAAATCTTATGTTTTAGTGTTAACGGGACACTTTCCATCATAGCACTGTGAAGTCTAGGTAGAAGATTACAGACAAAAAGGATAACTACTTCACTGAGAATTAAAGTAATTCATCAACAATGATGAATTTAGACTTTCAGACAAGCTGGTCTACCAACTGACCAGTTCTGCTCACCAATGGGAACGTTTATTCAGCGTTCAACAACGTTGCCTCCTTCAGACAGTCAGGATACTAACAGCAGCAGCCACATGCACTCAGGAGAGTACGTCCTAATTCCCAGTCATAAGTATGTGTGAAAAGGCCATGCGTGATCTTTGACAATATTCAGTGATAAGCATTAAGCTTTAGGCAGCTTACCTGTTTTTGCTTGGAAGACCTGATAAATTCTGTAAAATCAACTTAACTGTGGAAAGAAAATGAAACATAATTAATGGCTGATATTTGAATTTTGGTTTACATATTGCGCCATGTTACTGTGGCATGTCCATATCAATGGATAACATTAACAGCCAAGCACTGTAATGAAACCACAATTTTGAGTACTATGGAGAATTCCTTCCTTGTTCCAAGAGAAATATAAATGAGACATATTGTACTTCGGCACACTGCTATGCACTGCATCTCTGTGAATCCGTTTTAGATGTAGGAAAGAAAATTCAAATGTTAAGGGTGACGTCTGCAAATGATGTAAACATGCTGAGATTAACTGGTCATCAAATGTGCCACACCGAACTGTTGAAATGCAACAGAACTGCCAATAAGGTAGAGGGAAAACCCTCTGTTACTTCAGTCCTTGAAAGGTGTATAAATCCAGCTCAAGATTACATGTCCAATTCTTCTGAAATCCACCTGCTTTTGACGTGTACGACAAAACATGCTAATCAACACCAGTCCAATATTGCACTGAAGATAGACAATCATATGAAAAAGCCAAAAATTCCAAACAGATTTCAATGAGTACATGAATTTACAAACAAATCTCATTTGCAAGGTTTTCTCCTCGCAAGTGCTTGCTGCATTCCAAACATGCAACCAAGAACCACTGAATGTGCTCTGACAAGCTACAGGATTACATAGCACAGCTATATTACAGAAACAAGACAAACCCATGCACTGAATTACTACCAAATTTTTTTTTTTTTAAACAAGCTGCTATCAACAAGTAGTTAAGAATGCTACCACATTATACAGAAAGCCCTAGTTTATCACAATATAAGATACCATACTGACCACTCTAAATTTTTCAGATTTCTGATCAACTTACATCTACTAATCACAAAAGCTGATCACACTTCACCTGTATTAGCACAAAAAAAGCCCAAATTTCTGTAACTGAAAGACCTTATTTTACTTCTAAACTGTCTGAATACTTCCTTTCCATAGACAAGTCTGTAAGCTAGAAAGACTGAATGTTTGATAATTGCACTTGTAGATAAATAGCTCCTCACATCTGTATATGCTATCTTCTCAATAGATGAAACAGCAATGCCAATGTGCAAGGAAAGAATTCAGTGGGAGAGAGAATTCTCTGAAAGAGCCTTCGTTTCTTGAAAAGTCAAATCCATTTGCCCACTAATTCATGTAGCATTCTGATGTAGTATTTCAGCAGTTTTCTAGCACCTTTCTGTGTTCCTATGACCAAAAATCATTTCCCAATATTTTTGTCGTCAACCCAGAACCAGGTATGCTCAGTACTCCTGTGATGACAACTGTCAAGTTTTCCCATCATACACCATGGACACAATATACAACTTCTCGTGCTTAAACCAGACAAGTTAATTTCAGATCGCCACATAAAATAAAATCAATGTTCAGCTGCTCCACAGATAGAAATGCAAGTTAATCTAATAAATTTTTGCTAGCTGTTCATCCAAACAATCAAGAGATGGTAACAAATGTAGACAACTCATTAGATGGCTTAAATGAATAACCCAAGGAAGTGAAATGTAGTTTAAAAAAAAAGTTTTTTTTTTAAACACATGTAAGTCCAAATCAGCAGTAGAATGAGGCCTTCAAAGAAGAACAAATGTTTAGATAAATGGATAAGGCTTTTGGGAAAGCCCTACGTACTCACCAATTCAAAGCACAAAGGCTTCATTAAATAATACCTTCAAAAAAGCATCAATAAGAAGTATGCAAGACTAGGACTATACTTTCAGTTCATACCATACTCACTTTCACTACCAATCAAAAAGAATCAAACATTTCATAAAACTAGGTCTCCATAACACTGATGCTTACTTATCACTGTAGAATTTCCCATACCCAGATCCCATGCAATCAAATTCATGGTCTGGGAAGGACAACTGAAGAAAATCCAGCATACGCCAGAGGATGGCATTAACTGAAACTAAATAAACTAAAGTGGGTGAACAATGTTTATGAATTTTATTAGAAAAAAACTGGTAAGTCGGTAAGCGATTCCCTATCTCAGCTGCTGGCAAAAAAATGGATTTAACAGTCAAAGCAAGAAGTTTATCAACTGGGAGATTTAGTTTCACTGGAGCAACAATCTGAGTGAAGTCTGCAGATAGGCCCGTTGCACGGAAGGCTTCGGCGAGGCGCTGCTATTTAGGAGAAGCCAGCAGGTGTCGAGCCTGAGCCAGCGAGCGGTCCCACAAACTCAAGACCTCGGTCAGCATCCCCACATTCCGCAGCCTGATTAGGGCCACTGCCGATGCATCACAAGCCTAGAAAACACAGCACCTTCCGCCTCCAAGCGGAGCACGACCCGGGCGCCTCCAGCACCAGCCCGCACGTTCGCCGGTATCCTCCATCCAGAGGCCAACGGGGCCCGGGAGGGGTCGCTCTCCCCATGCCAGGTGCGCCCCAGTCCCGCCAGAGGCCGTTTGTGATCCGATCCTGCGGAGAACAAGCCCGGCCTCCCCGCGGCACCGGGGCGGGAGGGGACAGGAAGGGGCACCGGGGCGGATATCCAGGCTCACTGGCGAGGAGGACCATCCGGAGCGGCCGGATAGGCCTCCATATGCGACAGCATCACAGGGACCAGGCCGGGACTCCAGCGGAGCCCGCCTAGGCAGCTGGAGAAACCGGCAGCGCGACTCCGGCCCCGTGGCCATCTCCCAGCGCAGACCCTCCGCCCCGGGGATAGGCGGCCGGCCAGCGGCCAAGAGCACTGCCCGGGGGAAGCGGATCTCCCTCAGCCCGCTTCCCTCGCCCCACCCACCGTACACACCGCTGCCCGCTACACGAGGGAGAGGCTCCCCGCAGAGCGCCTCGCTCCGTGTCCCCGCAGCTCCGGAGAAGCAGCAACAAGATGGCGTCCTCCCTCTCTTTCCCCTTTCCCAACTGACCGGGCCCACACGCATGCGCGCCCCCTACGCTACAGTTCAGCCTACACCACACATGCGCGACCCTGCAGCCTCTTCCCGCCCGGGTGATTTACGCCAGGGTTATCTTTACGCATGTGCAAACTCGACTTCCTATGGCAGAGTGTCACTGCAACCTCTTCTTGTAACCGGAACCAGTGTACATGTGTGCGTGACCTTCCCGCTGTCATCACCGCATCTCACTAAGCATGTGCACGTTCATAGGCGGCCGGCTCAGCGGAGCTCAGTACGCATGCGTCTATCCTTTTCGTGGCTGCCGTTGCTTTCCCCTTTCACCGGTGCTTGGGTCACAACTGCGCATGCCTGGCATGTCCTAGGCTGCTCCACTTTTCCTTTGCCATCGATGTGGGCAGTGTGCACGTGCTGGGAGGGAGCTCCCACCTCATAGTGGGCAAAGGGCCTGTCTGATTCAGGTTGAGGGTGCAGAGTCAGGGGCTCCCTGACCTTCAGTCTCATGGTCTAGTCTGGCATCTCCTTGGTACAGTGGTTCTCAAACTCTTGTACTGTTGACGCCTTTCACATAGCAAGCCTCTGAGTGTGACCCCCACTTATATAAAAAAGTGTTTTTAATTTATATTTAACACCATATAAATGCTGGATGCAAAGCAGGGTTTGGAGTGGAGGCTGACAGCTCACAACCCCCCATGTAATAACCTTGCAACCCCCTGAAGGGTCCTGACCCCCAGTTTGAGAAGCCCTGCCTTAGCATTATTAATTGTTCCACTCTCTGCCTCTTGTTTCCAGGGTAGTGTCCTCCCATCCTGTCTTGGTGCTGGCTGGAATAGCATTAACATGGGTTTAGCGGGCTGAGTGTTTTCTGGTTAGATGAGTCAGAGGAAGGATACTCGTGACGGCGTCAAGGTAAATGAATAGGTTATGAGGTCCCTCTTGTCAGTGATATATGCCTTGGCTAGGTCTACACTGGCAGATTTTTTCACCAAGAGTTTGGTCAGTGATTAAAAAAAGCACTTAAAGAAAATCACTGTTGGGTGTTCACATTGTGAACACGCTCTGCTGACAGTGGAAGACACTTGCGGCACTTGCATTGGCAACGAGAGCATTGCACAGTGCAGCTCTCCCCCTTCTGCCGCTCAGTCTTGAGGGAAGGTGGAGGAGATTGTGGCACATCATGAGTCCAGGCTCAATGCCCCATGATGCACTGCTTTCCATCCCAGCATTCCATGTGCTTCAGTCTTCAGTTCGCGGCATTTTTCAATGTCCCTTGTTTTCTGCTTACCCCGCCACATCTATCTGCAGGAATGAATCCTGCGCTCATCTCCACTGCTCTGCAAGCTATCACTACCACATCGTGAATAGCAGTGGAGTTATTCTTGAAGTTACGAAGGCAATGGCAGTCACAGTTGCCTGAAGCAGTGTCCGACATGGAAAGCAGCAACATTAGGTTACTTCTGGCATTCACAGAACAGCTGAACACAGTGGAACGTTGCTTTTGGGCTCAGGAAACTAGCACTGAGTGGTAGGATCACATTGTTATACAGGTCTGGGAACTTTCAGATGCAGAAAGCCACCTACCTGGAACTGTGTGCGGAGCTCACCCCAGACCTGTGGTGCAAGGATACCCAAATGAGAACTGCACACTCGGTGGAAAAGCATGGAGCGATTGCAACTCCAGACTGCTATCAGTCAATCGCGAACCAGTTTGGAGTGGGAAAGTTGACCATTGGGGCTGTGTTAACACAAGTGTGCAAGGCCATTAATCACATCCTACTGCAAAGACCGTGACTCGTGGCAACATGCATGAAATGTGGATGGCTTTGCAGAAATTTGTTTCCCTAACTGTGGAGGTGCGATAGATGGAACACATATTCCAATTCTGGCACCGGGCCACCTTGCAACGGAGTACATCAATTGGAAGGGGTACTGCTCCAAGGTTTTGCAGGGACTTGTGGATCACCATGGGCATTTCACGGATATCAATGTGGGGTAGTCCGGAAAGGTGCATGTTGCATGTATATTTAGGAACAGTGGCCTGTACAGAAAGCTGCAAGCAGGGACTTTCTTTCCAGACCATAAGATCACCCTACGGGGAAGTCAAAATGCCCATCGTGATCCTGGGAGACCCGGCGTCTAAGTTCCCTCTAAGCTGCGTGGCCTCATGGCTGTGCGGCTGTCTATTAAGCCCCGCACAGGGGCTCAGAACTGCAATGGGGAGAGGCGCCTCTCCCCCAGCACAGACCTGCCACAGTGGGGAGAGGTGCCTCTCCCCAACAACCCCAGCCTGGACCTGCTGCGGCGGGGAGAGGCGCCCCACCCTGCCGGCCCCAGTATGGACCTGCCCTGGACTTGGTGTGGCCAGGGGAGAGGAGCCCCTCCCTCGGCCCAGCCCAGGCCTGCTGGAGCTGCTGCACCTGGGAAGCAGCGCCTCTCCCCCGGCCCCGAGCTGCTGCAGTGAGAGAGGGCTGGGGGGAGTCCTCTCTCCCCACTGCAGCTTCGGGGCAGCCTGCACCCAAACCCGTTATCCCTGGCCCCATCCCAGAGCCCGCAGTCCCCCGACACCCCAACCCTCTGCCCCAGCCCCGAGTCCCTTCCCGCACCCTGAACCCCTCATCCCCAGCCCCACCACCAGAGCCCACAGCCAGAGCCCTCACACTCCTGCACCCCAACCGTTTGCCACAGCCCTGAGCCCCCTCCCACACTCCAAACCTCTTGGACCCACCCCCACCACATGAATTTTGTTATGTGCATCAATATGAAGGTGATGTGTCATACATCACCTCCATATTGGTGCACATAACAAAATTCATAATGCACGTGGACATAAAAAAAATTAGAGGGAACACTGCCCGGTGTACCCCTTAATGCCATAGCTCATGAAACTGTACACGGGAAACCTAGATAGCGGTAAGGAGCGGTTCAACAACATGCTCAGTAGGTGCAGAATGACCATTGAATGTGCGTTTGGCTGGTTAAAGGCACGTTGGCGATGCCTATATGGCAGGTTAGACCTTCATGAGGAAAATATTCCCATGGTTATAGCCACGTGTTGCATGCTGCATAATATTTGTGAAGGGAAGGGTAAAAAGTTTACTCAGGGGGGGACTGCCGAGGCAGAATGCCTGGCTGCTGATTTTGAGCAGCCACATACCCCAGGGCCATACTGCCTAGCTGTGCGGGGAATTGCCCAGCATGCAGAAACAAAGCCAGCCTTCTACATTTCTCTGCTCCCAACCTGCTTCAGAACTTCACACAGCAAAACCACTTACCAGGGGGGTCTCCTCTCCTGCTTCTGGCTCACCAAAGAGCAACTGCAGAGACTGGCTAGACACCTCTGGAGTGGAGACCAGCTCCTGACTGGACTCACCGTCGGGCAACCCTGCCATGGGCTCCACATCTTTTTCAGCCTCCACCTCTTCATCAATTACTTCTTCTGAGTTAGATACACTTTCCACTGGCGCCAGACCCGCCAAAGTATCCACGGTGCTCTTGGTGGTGGAGGTGGGGTCGCCACCTAGGATAGCATCCAACTCCTTATAAAACAGCAGGTCTGGAGTGCAGCACTGGAGCGACGGTTTGCCTCCCTCGCTTTGTGGTACGCGTTCCTCAGCTCTTTCACCTTTGCACTGCAGCATATCCCAGTCATATCCCTTTTCACGCAAGCTGCCTGCAATCTGGCCATAGGTATCGAAATTCCTACAGATGGAGTGCAGCTGGGACTGGACAGCCTCCTCTCCCCAGACACTTATCAGATCCAGTAGCTCCAGTGGTCCAAGCGGGAGATTGTTTGCTGCGTGGAGCCACCATGGTCACCTGGGAGGATGCGATGTGAGCTCTCCATGCTGTGCAAACAGGGAGGGGAATTTCAAAATTCCCAGGGCTTTAAAGGGGGAGGGATGGAAGGTTGTTTACCTGGTGGCAGGCCAGCAGAGTTGAAACTGCTGACCAGAGTGATGAGGATGGGCATTGTGGGACACATTCTGAAGGCCAATAACAACACTAAAATCAAGCACTGTGCCTACACTGGCACTACAACGATAAAACCTTGGAGCAAAAAAGCCTTATGACACTCATCAAGGTGGTTTTATTACAGTGCTGCAACTGAGGAGTTTCATCGCAAAAAATTGGCTTTGCAGAGTGTACACCTCTGCTGTTTCATTGCCAAAAGTTGCCTTTTGGCGAAAAAGCTTAGTGTAGACCAGGCCTTAGACAGTGGGCGTTAGGAGAGCATTAAGTCAGGATTCTGCTCTCCATCTGAGTAACAACTATCTTCAATTTTGGTTTGGAAATAGGTGCCAGTGTTTCTGGAAGGGGTTCTCCAGCTTTCTAGTCATGCTGCATGGAGACATTGTTTTCTTATTATTTTATTGTGAAAAATACAAGATAGTTGGTGGAACACAACAACATGTAGGCAGATTGAGTTTATATGACAACTAGGCCTCTTTGCTGTCTCCAGGAGAGATGTTACTGGCACAGGAAGATAAAAGTCTCTATCATCAGGTAACTAGACCCTTAAGAGAATCGTTGTTACTGCTGAAATGTGTATTCAGTTGGGAAGTGCTAGGAAGCAATTGGTGTGATAAACATGGTATGAGTTTCCAAGCAATTAGCACACAGGATCATAAACTGTCATGTAATTTTGTGTCAGGAAAAGGATGATCAGGAATAATAATGAAGACATCTAGTGTACAGAAGTTTTGGTAGGGTTTAGAGAAGCATGAGGGATACAGGTGGGTTTTGGTAACTGGGGAAAAGGGACAAGAAGTTAACCTCTCTCTTCTACCTTCTCATCCAGCCACTTTTCTTCTGCAGCATAGGTCTGCCAACCTTTCCAAATAAAAAGTAAAGCAGGATACAGTCAGAGGTGAGCTGA